TATTTTGAAGCTTAGAGAAATATGTGCATATTATCAGTGGCCAAACACCTGAATATAAAACAGTCAGAACTTCACTACTGAAAATAACCATTATTATCAAGTAACAATTCTATGTACGTGTTAGCCCATCAATCACTTGTTCATTCACATGTTTGGCTACTCTAATTGATGATATTCTGATAATTAATATGGTTGGCAGCAATAATTTAAAGTAAAAGTAACTCACTTGCATCAATGGATAGCTAATAACACTATTCAATAAGGTATTAAAAACCGAGTTGGTTATTAAACTGATCAAAACAGTGGATTCGATTTGGCAATTAAAAAAAAAAAAAAGGACCTGGATAACCCACCCAATCCGGTAGGCTACCTGGGTTATGACTGGGTCGCACTAGTTTGGATTGGTTCACACTAGCTGAAAATTTTCCAAGTTCAGGGGATGAACTGAACCAAACAAGTGGTCAATTCACCAGTTTGGTCCAGTTTTGCAAACATTGCTATTTAACAATATGCTATAGCAATGAAAAACATGGAAACTTGTCATGAATAACCATGACAGGATAAAAACTACAGAAATCATGTTGCTATCCATGATATGCTTCACAGAAATTACTTGGTATCAGTAAGGCGACCATGCAAGCTCCATCTTTGGCGGAATCCTTCAATGCCCCCTACCCCACTAGCAAGAATCAAGCGCCTGTAAATTGTACCACGCAAGACAAATAACAGTATTCAATACGTGAATTTTTGCATTGTATAACCATGAATTGAACAAGAAAGACTTTGATGTCAGAGTGACACATTGAGGAGATGATTTGTGCTTAGCATAGTATGGAATAAAAGAAATAAAAAAAAAAAAAAGTAACGGTGTCAATTGAGGATGTACTTTGCACTTCCAAATAGAAAAATAATAATAGAATTACATAGTTACCGTTAAGTAATGATAATAATTTGCAGTCCAATTGGGGATCAATACACACTAATAGTAAAGGAAAAAGTGGCGTAGTGCATTTACAGTGAAACGTTAAACCATTTCAATCAGCAGATAAACCATAACAACCACAGCCACCATCACCATCATGTTAACAGAAGTCATTCCCCAGAAAATTGTTTTTTGAAATAATAACAAAAGCTTTATCAAGTTATTCATAAATATAAGCTTAGTTTGCATCTCTTTAGTAAAATACTAATGAATATACCTTTCCAATGATGTAACTTCTGACTCAAGCTGAGCAGCCCTCTCCTTTGCATCATCTAAAGGCATGGAAGAGCCCAATTTACATTCACTATCTAGAAGACGTTTTCTTACCTCCTTATCCTGCAAATAATTTTTGCCAAGTGGAACATCATATCATACAAACTTAGTTTCCTTTTACACCTCCACTTCTAATGCAAGTAGTGAAAAAATAAAGCAAACATGTCAGGAGCTACAGAGAAAATAAAGGAGTTGAAATAATAAGGCAGAAGGAAGAGAGAGACAGCAAGTTTACTATCTTGAAGACATCTCCTTATTCTACTTATCCTACAAATCTAATAGCATAAAATTGCACTTCCTACATCTCCATCTTCATATACTAACATTAGAGGAATATTGCACATATGTCGAGAGATAAATGAGAGCACAAATGACTTCAATCAGTAAAATGGAAGATGAAGCCATTGAGTGAAGCGTATCTGTCACAGTTATCTCACCCTCCTTTCAGCACATTGGCGATATAGAGCAATCTCGTCTTGACAGAATGGTTCAACGTCGTTGATCTGCAAGCCTGCAACATTTAAATAAATCTGAGTAATGTTTTTCTGAATAAAAAGACTCACAATTAACATTGATCTTCAAATATCTGAACTTTTGAGGAGGTCAAGGTATTTGTTTGTTCAGGCTATTTGGAGGGCATTGCCTGTATACATGTTGGGACTATGACCAAAATAAGGTGGTCTAGGAGTCCTATTTTCGGTTGGCATCTAATGCACACAGATAGAGCAAAATAAGAATTCTAGCTCAATAGTTTCTTATGACACTTGTAAGGGACATGGTCATTCCCTGCCTCTCAATGGGTTTCTGCATGAGGTTTTCAATGGAGTCAATTTGCTATCATGCTCAGGGACTGGTTGCTCTTTTGATCTGTCCTTCGTTAGACTTTTTCCCTGTTCTATGAGGATTGCTAATCTTTCGTATTTGTACTTCTTTTCTCTCGTGAATTATTTTCTTTAACCTAGAAAATGTTCAAACACTTCATTCATCAGTAAAACATATAACAGCCTACACTCTTTTTCTACCTCAGCTGAAATGTATGACCAGAGCTGGAGAGAAATAATCTATAGATATCTAATCTGCTCCATAACAACCAGAAGTGAAACGATGTAGTGACCATCCCTGGTTTTAGCCCCCACTAGCAACTCGGTTTTACACCATTTGAAGTGGTTTTCTGTAGAAGGAGCTGAAACTTCTTACAAAGGAAACATCAGTACTTACACAAAAATAGATTCCTCAGGATTTCATCACACAAATCAACACCTTCAAGCACATGGGAGGCTATTTCTGGTGGGACTAGAGGCGATGGAGGCCCCATCATTAGATCATCCCCAACCAATATTGTCTCTTCCATGGTTGGCTGTGAGTCAACTGAACCACACAGAAAGTTATAAGCATATTAATCAGGTACAGTTTATCAATTGTCAAAAACTAAGCCTTTCTAAACAGCAGGATGAAATTATACACATGGAATGTTATAAGCAATCTTATTATAGAGAAATAGAAGATGATATGAAAGTTGTGTGTATTCGATAGTCGAGCAAAGGGTTTATACACATGAAAGGAGCCGAGGTATTAATGACTCGTAATGAGTAAAATAAAATCCTAACAGAATAATATCTGATCCTATAATAACGGTACAGATTATACTATTTGTATTAATGATAAGATATTCTCATATCATCACACTTATAAAGAGTTCATTAATAGTAAAATTCTAAGCCTTTATTAAAATTTTACATAGTTATATGATATTCCTATCCTATAGTACGGAACCTATTTATAACATGAACAGCATCTTTAACAGCAAAATCGGAAGTATCGTCTACTCGTGAAGATGAAGAATCCTTAAATCAAATGCACAATCAGCGTCAAACAAGATGCAGAACCTATCCGCAGCACTAATCACTGAGACGGCCTAAGTAAAATCCAATAACAGAGTTCCTGAATTCACGTACCATCCATGGTTGCTTGATGGTAAGTCTTCGGCGCAGAAACTCAAAAGAGGTACCTATATCCTGCAACGAAAAGGGAGTATGATAATCAAACAATGCAATGGAAGATGCAAATCCTGAGTGCAGCATTTCATCAAACATATGAAAGTCAACTAAAGAAGCGATCAAGCAACCATAATTTCATAGAGACGAGTTTAGACGAAGAAATACAGCAGAAGCAGCTTAATATGCATCTGAAAATGAAGAAAGAGAAAGAAAACAGAAAGAAATGGCGTGAAGCAAATCAAACGAAGAAGATACCTGATGCAGCGCGGCAGCTTAAGAGTACACGCCAATGCCTGTGGTCTGGGACTCTACTCTTGCTCTTTCAGCTCAGCTCTTCGATTTCAACCCTCACTTCGAAATTTTCATGCACTCTCTTCTCCCTCACTCTCCTGAGTCTGAGTTCCAGTTATTACCTTCGTCCAGGTTCGTTGTTTTTATACTGTATTGCGAATGAAGGCGAGGAAATACTCGCAGCGAAACGAAGAAAATCAGTTTTTTTCGGAGAATTTCAATGAGTTCTTAAAAAAATGAGCTGTTGAGAGAAAATAATTATCAAAAAATCTCAACGACTTAAACAATTTTTAATGATAAATATTAGAGTAAAAAAATAACAATTTTTAAAACTTATTTAGTAATTATTTTTTTCTTAGGACTTTATTGTAATTTTTTTCTCTTTTTTTTTGCCAACAAAAATCAGCATTACTATAATTATAAAAAATTATTATAATAATAAAATATTGCATGGAAAAAATAAAAATATTGAAGGTTGCATGAAGGTTACATATATAATATGAAATTCAATTAAAAATAAGTCAATTAACGATGTCGCCTTCCTTCGTTGTGAAAATTTGTTGTGCTTTGATGTTAATTTTGGCTAGGTTGATTAACATTTACCTTGGTATTAATGTGTGCGCGCGCGCATAGATCTGAAGATCACACATTTTAACAAAATTTTCTTATTATAATAGTTAAACAAAACTGAAAGACACTTGAAAACATTATTGTGAAATGAGTACATTATATTATATTGCGATATGGCACTGTTCAATTGATGTGTACGAGGAATTAAACAAGAACCCCCCAATAAGTCATCAGGGCATAAGTGAGAGAAAAAAGAAAGCAAATTGTTTCGTGAGGCGAAACCATCCACTGAATTCAGTCCATTAAAAAAAAAAAAAGAAGAAGAAAATAAACCAAAAAAACCATCCACCGAAGACTGAAGTTTCATTATTATTTTTTCAATCACTGATCTTCGACCTTTCTTTCAGAAGAAAGAGAAGAACAGGTTAAACCTGGGACTGCGTCAGAGGAGAGGCATGAATACATCAAGATCCTGAGAAAAGAATTTAATTACTCTATTAACAAGTGAAGAGTAAGTAATCACAAGTCTCATAATAAGAAATGACAATAGGTTAATCATTTATTATTAAAATTTTTTGATAATTAAATTTTTTTTCTTCAAACCTCTTGATAATTCTCCCTGACATCAATTACTTCGGCTTTTTGCACATACCTCTCGTTTTTACGGCGTTTTATTAACCCGAAGAGTTCTCCGGACGCGTTGACTCAAAGATGATCTCATTGCTACAGACAGTGAATTTTTATCCTGTGTTTTCCTTTTTACGGCGCGAAATCGGTCAGTCTCTTCGTCGCCCCCTTGTTTCTGCCCCATTTAATGCTATAGGTTGATTTATGCGTTATTGCTTCTTTCATCAAGACAACCGAAAAAACAAGTGGCCCTTTTGAAGGACATAGAAGCCTAGTTCATGAAAACATAAAGTACTAATTCCTCTGTTGTTAACACAAATGTGAGCGTTAATGGGATAACATTTTCTGTGTATTACACGAAACATGACGAAAGTCACATGGGGCTAAAGATTTTATATTTTTATATATATATTTGTCCTTTTAACTTTCTCTTCTATGCAATCGAGAACATAGGCCAGGTTGTGGTTGATATGCCAAGTGATCATGCACGCCTGTATTCATCTCCGCAATCACCAATCACTTTAAGCAGATCTTTTCCTTTCCCTGAGGCTTCTTTTATGCTGTTAACGTCCTCCTCATCAAGAACAAGCGAAAAGATGGCACTCGTGTCTTGAATATGTTCAGACAGGCCAAGTCTGACACCAATCATTGATCCTGCTACAGCGGGCTGAAAGTTTGGAAAAAACCAGAGTGAAAGGGATATTCGCATGAGTTTTTACACACGTGACATCTCAAAATGATATGCAACTTTCTGAAAATAGTGTGTGTGTGTGTGTAACTTTACCTGATCGAGTATGTACTTAACAGCAACAGTTGATATCGAAACCCCATGCTTCGAAGCCACTTGTTTGAGTGTCCGAAGTAGGCCCTGGAACAGACTCCATCCTCCCCAAGCATCTACCATCTGTTACATATGCAAAATAGTTAAAGTGAATATGATGAATATAGAAGGACAAAAATTTAAAGTCCACTCTCACAATGGTCTCATACAGGCAGAAAGCCAATGCGCACAATCGCATATTTGTTCTCGCCTATTCTAGGCCAAACTTTTATGCTTTTGCTTGTCTATTTAACAAAGTTTTCAGTGTAATGAAAATCAGACGTGGAAGAAACTTCAATTGATTGAGTTTCTTAAACTAACTCATGATAAATAATGAAGGTAAGAAATCCATACCCTTTTGTACTTCTGGAGGGAGGGAGTGTTTAATGGAGGACCGGCAAACGGAATAGTTATGTTGGTGTCAAGGAACTTCTCAGACAGTAGACCACCCATTACTGTTCCATACCTGCAACAGAAAATGATCTATTCAGGAAGAAATAAAAGTATTGTTGGCCAACTAGTGATGCTGTGTTACTAAAATGGTAGAGGTTCGTAGAACTCTCTGGACAAAGAATATAATAAATTGTTATCCCAGCCATGAGGTGTAAAATTCAAATATAAACTTGTTGGAGCTCGGAAATTTCCAGCCATATTCCCTTCATACTGGTGAACATTAACTACTGACTATTTCAGGGGAAAAGAAAAGGAAGGGGGGGTTTGCAAGTTTGATTATGTCGCAGGTAAATAGATAGAGAGAGAGAGAGAGACGTTATAAGTTTGACTCCTGTAAGCTGACAAAGCTCTGCCATTTTCTGTTGGGGACGCATGTCAACAATTGAATGTTGCACCTGAAGATAGAAAAGTTCCAATGGAACTCAGTTGACTGGGAGGAGGAAAACATCAGTAATGCCAATAACAAATGTTTGACAAGCTAGAGCACGTGGATTTACCTGATTGCTTACAACCGGAATCTCGTTTTCAAGAATTATTTGCAGTCTCTCAGTATCGAAATTTGTCAAGGCAACAGTCTTGATTTTACCTGCATATGACTATGTTAAGTTGGTCAATCAAATGAAGAAGTTAGGACTTGCACGTGAATTCTATGCAATTATTCAGAAATAATACTAACCTTCTTCTTTTAAGTCTGTGAGGTGTTTTAGTGCATCTAAGTAACCAGGATTCGAGTAATCCCACCTAAATCAATCGCAGAGTAAATTTTTTAAACAGAAGAAACTTAAGACTCCAGAGGAATCAAAATTAACTACCAATGGAGTTCATCCAGATGAATCAAGTCAAACACTCATTTGAGAAGCACAGTCGAGCTGAATAAAGAGTTTGCTAGAAAATGGAAAGCAATATGGATGATATTATTCAACATATCGATCATTAACCTTTTGAGTTACAAACCAATTAACAAGTTAACATGTTGACAGGAATTAGCGCTGTCTCACCCGCTACTCCCAGAAGAACGTCAAACAACCGCAAGATCAACACTAGGATTAAAATTACCAATGAAACTGAAGCATGTCCAAGGAAGCGACATCCATTCTTCTTCGCGAAACATCAATGCTGTCTCTCACAAAGCTACTGGTCATCTTAACGGGCGGTGGCACCCACTTGGTGAGACTGCATCACATGACACAATAGGTAAAGAAATTAACTTCCCTAACATACTTAAAAATTTGAAAGTTTCTACATAGTATATTTGGTGGATGAGGTCGTAAACTACTTGAAATTTGCTTCGACCAGTGAAAAAGCAATTCAGTCACATGATCAACTCAGAACTCACCCTCTGACCTTTTCCAAGAATTCAGGTGGGCGCTCACGACGAACTCGATTGATGAAAATGCCATAAAGGTCTTCAGCAGGTCCATCTGAAAAGTTCGTAAAAGGGAGCCATGAAGCGCACAATTCACATTTATTTTGGCCAACATATAAAAAGCGGTTTACGTCAAGAAAGAACATTAACAATATCCCACGATCACATAGGCTACCCAACTAATTAGTTACTCCAGAGGCATCTTTAGAAGATTTAGAATGCTTTAAAAGATGTACAAGCTCAATCCTTTCCCTACGGAGGGTCATACGGATACAAACAAAGAGACGACTAAAGGTAAGTTTAATCGTGCAAGTTCCATACATATATCAGCCATATCAAAAGTGGTGAGCCCAGCATCAGCATATTTAAGCATATCATCAACTGCATTATCTGCATCAATTCTGCCCCATCCACCGCTCGTTTGCCACGTCCCATTCACAACCCGGCAAATTTCCAATGAATCGTTCCCATTCTTGACGACAATGCGCCGGCTATCCTCTGTTTGCACACATTGAAATGGCCTCAAATGCTTACATTTTCGTGCAGTGATACCCCTCCTAGTTAGTGTATCATTGGGATCGAAGGTGAATTTGCTCAACGGATGACGCAATAACAATGCCATTTCCAAACACAAGTGTCAACAACGGCCTACATAACTTCAGCAGTTTCTTCTGTTCTAATAGCCAAGTAAAGATAGAGACACACACACGGGCGCGCAGTGTCGCTGCTCTATCCTAAATCGACCTCTATGTGCTCTCCACCTTTAATTTTCTCCTTTTTAAAAATATTAATGAATAAATAAATTCTATATTTGGTTTTTCGGTTATTAAATACAGACGCAGCCGGGGGCCCATTAGACACGTAAGAAGTTATCTGACATGGAACAAAATGTTAATAGGACGCGTGGAGAGCGTCTGAGAACTTTACTGTACGTACAGTGGTCAGCCATGTCGAAAGTGGATAAGCCAGCGTCGGCATATCGGAGCATCGCTTCGACGGCGGCGTCTCGGTCGATTCGGCCCCAGCCACCGCTGGTTTGCCACATGCCATTCAGAACTCGGCAGATTTCTAAGGAATCATTCTTATTACTCAATGTGACTTCGCGGTTGTCACTCAAAACTCCATAAGAGCACCGAACCGAGCTTACACAGAGCCCACGCGTATCTAACCTTGTCCTATTCCCCGTTCTGGTGCACTTGAAGCGGGTGAGGTTGGGAAGTAGGTGGGGGTGGTTCCCGACGGCTGCCATTTCTAGGACAGGGGCAACAAGGGCGCAGAACGAAGATAAGACGTTTTGCCTGTTTTCGTTCTCTCAACCGTAATGACGATAGCGCCACCACTATCTTTTTTTTAATTGCGCTCATTGTCAAGTGGGCCTATAATATATGGGCAGCCCATATGGATTTGGGTTAAGTTGGGTTCGGTTTGATTTATCTTTCAGCAGTCAGCACCATACTGGACCAGCCCATAAGTAGAAATAGAAAGTACCGGAGAATTACAAGTTTGCTTTAAGCGGGATTGGCCCAAAAATGATTGACAGGCAGCTAAAATGGCAAGTTTGCGCAATTAGCTACAAGTTCAGAGGAACTTTATGGAAAAGGAAAGCTATAAAAGCCGGTCACTTTAGGGAACTTGGGAGAACATAAATTCAGAGGGTATATCGGGAAGAGATGGCAGTTTTTGCCCAAATTGAGGCCTTTATATGTAAGGAGCATGAAAGGCTTGAGGTTTTGCACTAACACGAACAGTATATCAGTTATTCAATGAACACGTGAAATGCCACTTACTGTGTTGCGACGTCGTCGTTCTTCAATGTTCACGTGAATGGGACTTCCATTGTATTTGAATTACTATCTGCGTTTTGTAGGTTATGATCACAAAAGCTCGTTAATATGAAACCCTGCTTGAGCCATCACATGAGTTTAAAAAAACCAGCTCCGTTACCATCAAACTTACTGATAAAAGCTTCGGTTAGGTTTTGAATTTTATACTTAAATGCTTAGAAAGCCTCGATATTACCCACTAGTAGTTGTGAATCAAGGTTTGCCACCCTCGTTCCTTCCGCTCTCAACAAGTTCAATTACTAGTAACTTCACATCTAAGATTTGGAGGGAGGGTATGTTAAACCTTCCACCAATGGTTTCGAGAGCACCATCACCATATCCTCTCGTTCTTCGAAGTTTTAACTTCCCCGTAATTTCAGTTGCAAATATAACTTCAACCGGCTCTATTTTTGGGATGTTCAATTTACTCATTTATTTATTTATGCTAACGGTCAGTTATTAACGTGTCAGCTTGCATGCGTTTTTTAAGACTAGAAAATTCCTTGTCAATAACATTTGAATAATGTGCGGCGTGCTTGCCTTCATTTTTTGGTTAGATAACGGCTGCACGATTCCAAGGTCATCCTCCCTGAAAAACGCTTTCCACAATGAAAGGAAAGAAGCAAGATGGCAATCACAAATAATTAAAGAGCATCATTCAAATGTTGGACATGGGAGAACTACAATCCAAATGTGAACTGTGCAGAGGCACACAGCGCACAAAGGAAAATGAAAAACAGAAGGAATAAATTAGAATAAGAAGCGGAAGAAGCATCACTTTACTGCATGAGAGGATCCTCCAGAGGAAGACACGTGATTCAATAACCACTAAGTTAAATCAAAACGATATTCAGAAAGGGATTGAGTTCTTCTGATCTAACTGAAGGAGAGAATTCAACTCGAGGATGAAGATTCTGCTTTTGACTCCATGTATCTGATAATCCTTCGCTCCATCTGCATTGAGAGATCATGTTACCTTATTAGTTGCAATATACGGATTAGGATGAAAGGTTTACATCGCAGAAGCAATGTAGGATACCCGAATGTAAGGCTCCAACTTGGTCTTGGTAGAACTAAATTCACTTTTCACCCACATGAGGCTTCGATCAAACCTGAATAGCAAAGTTTCCATAAAAAGAGGGGCAAACACATATGTAACACGATAATGCCATGCTTCATAATATAAATCAACAAGAACGTTGGTAAAATATATACAGAGTTCCAAATCCAAATAGATGCGAACTGTCATGAATATATTCAATTCTAAATGAAAGATGAAGTTATGAACAAGCTAATCCTTTAAAAGTATATCTGCCCATATGGAAAATAATAAATTGAAATGATTGAATAAGACAGAGCATTTACTTTCTTTTATGGTTCTCATCGCAAGCCTGAATCAGACCAGGACATGCAAGCTTAACATGCTCTGCACCAATGCTGTAACACCATCAACAAATGTAAGATGCAGCTCCAAATACCTAATAAGAAGCTACAAAACTCTTTGGCATCATAGTCTCTTCGTTATTCTTCCCTAAACATGGAATCCTAACTGTTGCAGCTCGAACAATGTTGAGTGTTGTATAAGCTACATTGCGGTATTGAACTTTATCAAGTATTTGGGTTAATATATTGTGAACAAACTATTCATGATAACGTAAGAGAGAAAACATGGGGAAAAGTATGAGGAGAGAGGTGAGGGCATTGTGTTTCCTCTTCTTTTTCCTTTGATGAACATTCCCCTAATTTCCATTTTCTAGGAAAAAATGTTTCATAGAATTGTATAACAATTTGAAACTATACACTCCCATTAAAGACTGAATGGCCATCTCCAATCCTGAAGAAAGGTAAAAGGGCATTGTGATGGATAGACTTTGCATGCTACCTTTTGCTCTTGTCCTCTATTTCACGAGCAAGGGCAGACAACTTAGTTAAGCCAACATTTGACTCATCACTGTAGACATAGAGACACCGGTTAGAAAATCGAATTCCACGATCAGCTTAAATGGACAGTCCATGAAGTAAGCATTATCATTACGCATGACTCGAAAGATCTGAAAGGATCGCTTCTACATCTTCGAAGTATGCTTCAATGAGCTTCACAACACAATCTGGTTCCTCAGTTCTTCTCTGAGAATGAATTCTATGAAACTGATCATTCATTATACCCTGAAAAAAATTTCAGAAGAAAAGTGATATAAGATCTGAGCATTGCTTTTGCAACATCGTTTTGAAAAGAAAAGGCTTGTGCATGATGGAAGAATGATATCTCAGTACACTTAAATAAATTCAACGGGCGAGTCTACCATAGATAGGCAAACAAAAGAAACATCAGGGAGAAAACCACAACAATTTTAAAGGTGGAGGTGTCCTTGGGCAAACAGCCCAGCCATAGATCACAATACAATACACTCAACAAGGAATCTTCTACCTCGTCTAACAATGAATGCAAATATTCCTGGTGCAATCCTTTGAGAATTGGCAAAGTCATTTTCTGTTGGATGCACAAAAGAAACAGCCCGAAAGGAGAAAACTAGAAGAATAGTTAAGGCTTAAGTCAGAAGAGATGATCTTGCATAAAAGGTGCTTCTTTTTTATAGACAGATTTGAAATTTTGCGGATGGAAACAAAATATATCAGAGAGATGAATGACAAGTCATTCAAAACAGACTCTGCCAGAAGGTCATGAGTTAAGCATGAGCCCTTATGTAATTAACCACCAAAATTTGCAAATTATCATTAATGTCATTGTCAATGACAAATGGCAAGGCAGTTATTTTTACTCCTTGCTTGAATGATACGAATCCAAATAACGCTATTGTATTATGCTATGGTTTTAAGAAAGGTATGCAGTAAAAAAAAAAAAAAAACATTTTAGAGTGCTTTAAAGTAAATAAAAAAATGTTTTTTTCCCTTTTTCTTGGCAAAAGAAAACAGAGCTTTGTAAATTTACCAAAAAGCCAATATAAAAAATGCTGTCCAAGAGGCATCACCAGCAGATAGAAGAGCAGCACATCAGTACTAGTTACATAAATTGCGAACGCAGACACAACAAGGGCACAACATGAAAATATAGAGCATGGAAGCAACTAACACAATAACAATAACAACAAGCCTCATTTTACTAAGTGGGGTTGGTGACATGGATAGTATGACGTTACCATGCTCTATCAATGAAGTATTTAACAACAATCTACAATGTCTAACTAAGGAACATAACAAAATAACTTAACTTCAATACTTTACCTTATACACATTAACGATAGTTTAATCTCTCTCACTCTCTCTAAGAATTGGACATTCTACAGCCATCAGTTGCAATGTCATTGAGCCATCACTTTAGTAGCTATTACTGATTGAAGGCTGAATTTTCCCAAAGAGGAAAATATGCTTTGGATATATATTTTAAAAAAACGCATGATTGAGTTTCCTTACTAATTTTTAATCTTTCCTTTCACAAGCATGAAGAAGTTCAGCACATGCACGCCTGCCATTCTCAGCATCAACACTATGCAACAAGGAAAAACACAATTTTATTGCTTGAAAAAAGGCCTAAGGTAAAATAGAAAAGCGAAATCCATGCACCTAGCTCATTACTATTGATGTGATTTTTTTAATTAAAAAAAGGTCGATGATATAATAATAAAGATAATAACTTCAAAATACTTTGATTTTAGAAGGAAAGAAAGAGCCAAAATGTAGAATATAAAATAAATAGAAAATATAATCTGGTTCTTATTCAATGATGATAGTTAAGAGGTGGGATAAAGGTGTCTCTGCTTCTCTTTCCCTCTACTTCCCTCCGCTTCCCATCTCAACTATAAGATTGCAATTTAAACAGTCCAAATTTCATATTTTATAAAATTGTGAATAGAACGTTAATTTTTGTAAAAAATAAATAAATAAAATTAAACCACTAAATTTTAGTTATGATAATTTAAAACAGTAATAAAAATCTTTTATAAAATTATATTTCATATAATATGAAATCTAAACTGTTCAAATTTTAATCTTAATGGTTGGGTTAAGAAGTGAATGAAAATAGAGAAAAAATGAAGTGGAGAGACTCTTCTTCCATGAAGAGGTACAGTCGGTACTCTTATATAGAGCCGAAACTTAGAGACTCAAGATGACATGTAAGGAAGATAGTTTGATTACTTGACCAGACTTACAACTAAACCATGACAAACTATAAGCTCTAAACTGCATTCTAATAGAATGGATGCAGAAAAATCTTACAATGTTCTTCTTAAAGTAGAAAAATTTCGTCAAGAGTCACGAAATATGAGGGGGGAAAAATCCGCCAAACGTGAACTCTAAGATAGAGAAAGTTTGAGAAAATAGCTGAGATACCGTTAAAGACTGCTTGAAAGCAAAGCCATTTATGAGAGAACAAATCAAAGCAAATTCGATCTACCATGGAAAGAGGCGAATAATGTTTCTAACATCAGAAAAATGACAACATTAAAGAGAGAGAGAAGAGAGGAAGAAGAATTACAAACACATGAAAATGAATTAGAATTTAGAAGTGAAAACGATATAAGTTTTCGCTCATGGACTGGGTGAAGCAGCTAAGCTGGCTTTTCATAAGAGACACAGCCACCTAAGAACTGAGCCTTGAAGGCGAGAATCAGGGAAGGAGGAGCGGGAAGAAGAAGAAGAAAAGGAACGCACAATGATGAGCTGGCAAATAATATGAACAGTACACCAGAGATGACGCGGATTATGCTCAAGATTTTTCCTTGATAACTATCTCGTCCCAACAAAACCGCGCGAGAAATGACGAGGGTGCAGGCCGTGGCGATGCGCTAACAAATATGAGGCCCATTTTCACATTTCTATGTAGTTTGCCCGCCCAATTTGTCATTTTCGACCCAATATTCATCTTGCCTCTGGGCCACATTTTATTATGTCCAATTGAAATTTCATCGTTCTCATATTATTTTGTCCAGAATTAAAGTTTAAATTTTTGTTGGGAAAACTTGACGAATTAAAATGGTGCGAAACATTAAAATGATAATAAAAATTATGATTGAGATTAAAAAAAATACATTAAATCAGTGTTTAGTCTGAGTAATTGCTTATTACTTAGAATTGGACAAATATTCATATATGTGGGATTCAGAAATATCATGGGGTGATATTTTTCAATCCTACTTACATGAAATTGTTTAATATCATGTAACAAGAAATTACTCATATTAAATACTATTTAATATTTTTTAATCTCAATCCTAATTCTTATTCCTCACTTTCAACACTTTATATCAAACAAGAGCTAAGGTTCGAATCTTATTGAAAAAAATGACAATATTTACTGTTTCGCTACTTGAGGGTAAACAATGATGATGATGATGAGTGACGGCATTGACGTGAGTTGATAAATGCGTTTGTGGGCCCCGCCGGAGGCAGAGTAGTGATGATGAAATGAAAGCACTAACGTATGTATAAACCCAACTTGATGTCATGATGCATGTCAGAGTCGAAAATGAAAATGACACTTATTTGCAGTTTCACGTTATATATAACTTGGTAAATAGTAGATTCAATTAAATGACCATTAGTATTAGAGACTTCAATTCAGTGTTATATACGTCATCTTACCTTTCCCCCTTTTTCTCTAAACAAGCAAATTTAAACTTGTTCTTTTAGCAAGCAAAAGTTTATTTGAGTTAACTAGGCTTTGGAGTTCGCAAATTTAACACAGGTTTCGTGACTTTAAAAACGCTACATAGATACAGATACTTATAAAAGGCATAATAGTAATAAAAAGGTGTAAAAAATTCGTCTTTTTCTCAAACGCACGTACGTGCACACACGCCAAGTGCGAGAAGGATAATTTTCTTGAGAATAGCACAAAGCACGCATGCACGCACTTACTCTCTTACCCACCAGTTGTTAATTTTTAATTGGCTAAGTTTATACAAACAGATCGCAAGGTACTGCTGTGAATTTTGTAGATGCTTTTATTAAAAGAAGTAAGAATAACCATCATGCGTGCCAATACATTAATTACCAATATCATTAATTGTGTCGACGATTCTTCCCACTTCATTTGGTGTCAACTCACATCTAGAATACCCAAAAACCATAAACTGTGGCTAAGCTCTGTGTGTATATATTAAACATGTACCTGAGCTCCACATATATATTTTCGGAAAACCTGGATGCGATTTGGATACTTATGAGCTGCAAGAACTTAATCAAACATATATTTATACATTAATCCCCTCTTCCTGATACTATTTCTAATCCTTAATATAAGATTTGAGTTTTAACTTAATTCCAACTGCAAACTTGAAGTTAAGAACGAAAGCTACTACTAATTTATAGCTCGATCGGTCTCTCTCTTAGCTCTGTCAATCACTTACGATGTCAATTCAATTTAACTGATATGACACGACATAACTTTATGAAGCGTGTTTATTAGTTTCCTAGCCAGGCTGTTTCACGCACAGACAGAGACGCTCCCTCCATTAAAGTTCTGGGGATACCTCGCACTTGCACACAAGATCTAGAGGCTTATATTCTGAGAAAATTGATTAAAAGAAATTAAAAGGAGTATGGAGTTATGGACCACGCAACACAGAGAGATGAAAAGGCAGTATAATCATTTTGTGGGTGACTTGGAATGGGAGCCCAATTGAAAGCACGAGGAACACCTGATTAACAAAGGGAATGCAGGAATAGTACTATACTATTTCTTGTTCCTTCTCTTTCCGGGTCAGTATTTAAAGCTGACACCAGAAAAAACTATTGCAGCAGATAATAAGGAATCTGTGGGAGCATCATCAAGATATATCTATGCTTGTCGGCTTTTGATGTTTGAATATTAACACATGTTTGTTTCGTGTGTGTATATTTATATTTGTTACCCTAGGATCCGTGATTTAATTTGATTCTCTCTGTGCCAACAGAAAACATTGATCTGATTCGATTGTACATGTTACTGAGGAGCGCGCACATTTTGTATTATAAAACACGAGTCTGATTTCTTTCCGGCCCTTTCTTAATTCATTTAAAACCTATACTACTGTAATAAAAACTGCACAATCGATGATGGTGCGTCCAAACAGACAAGGTTTTATTATATATTCATCCCGGCCGGCCCCTAGCTGCCAAGTTAATTAACATTGTTAAACAGTAACATAATGCTGTAAAGCTAAT